CAATAGGCTACTATCCAACATGCATTTTCTCTTAAACATAATGATTTAAAACACGTCAGCACAAATAGTCTCATGCATGGAGTAGTAGCGTGCCCAAGCATGCTCAGGGCAGCATGCTACTTTAGGCAGACATGTTTTATATTGTAATGTTTTAGGCAAAATGCATGTGTTTGGGAAGTACTGAGAACATGACTGGATGATTGAAAACTGGATTATACTGCACAAGTTGTGTGAGAGTTTGGAAACGGATGTTTTGATGGAGTCTTGCTGTTGTTAATTGTGAACCTTGATTACCTTAATTCATGAATAATGTTTGCCTTTGTTTTGGGTTCTTTGTTCACCTTGGAGGTATGCCAAGAAATGTTCTTCACGAATTCCAGGTAACATACGGGGAGTAATTGATATACATTACCATTTTTGGGGTGAAGTTTCTTTAACATGATAGCTGTGTGTCAATTCAGGAGCTGAAGCCTCCGAAGGCTGCGTTTAAAGACCAATTCCGTCACATCGGCGTGACCAAGGCTGTCCCATTTTGAGAGCTCCTTCAAATGCGGCCGAGAAATGCAGCCTTCTCTCCCAGAATTTGGAGGATGCAACGGATGAATCCTTCATGGCCCAGCCTATCCCAAGGTGCATTGCGTGTCGGTGACGATTATATATTAAGTTAGATGTTTTTAACATTACTGTTAGCTAAAAGCACACAGCTTAAACAATCTTAACTTAATAAGTTTACCTGAAAACAGTCCATCAGCTTGAAATATATCAAATCTCAATCGAATCATCTCCTTAAGTATTAAATTTAAAAAAATGTATAGATATAATAACAGTCTCTAGGTCCATGGTTTAGGGCTAACTAACTTACTAGCTTACTCCTTCTTTCATCAAGTGGGATGGTTTCTAGGTAACAGAAACGCCAATGATAGGGGGAAAGTACAACTGGTGATGCAACCAGGAAATCCTCCGCAGACCAGACCGTCCCTTTTCGGAGACCGTTCGGTTTGGCTGATGCCGTCTTCAAAGAATGCGGCCGATGTCCTTCAAAAGCTGCAGTCCCTGAATTGAGATACAGCTAATGAGACAATGTTGCTGATGGACCTTTTCACAGTAGACATTTGGACTTGTCATTGTAGGAAAAGCAAAGGTGGACTTGATAATATTAACGATGGCTCAGTTCCATTAAGTGTGCCAGTCAGCTGTTTCAGTGAGCTGGCTACACAATACCAGGACCTCCCCTGCAGCTATCATTAATGTTTATTAATACACCTGTGCTTTCCCAACAATGATAAGTCCAAATGTCTGCTGTGAAAAAGGTCTGTTAAAGTACCTTGCAAGTCACAAAAATGTTGATAGTGAACCAGCAAAATGTTAACTGATAACGTATATGTCACTTGTTTTGCGCCAAATACAATACTACTCTCGCAATACACTAACCACTCACTGACTACAGCATTATGTTTTTATTTTTACCTTCTTTTTGTTTTACTTTTAACCAAAATCACGGTCTTTCCATAAACTTAACCAAAGTGCATTTGTTGCCTGAACCTAACCACAGACAGGAGTCTAGACATGAACCCAGTATTCTGGTGTTACAGTCCGTCATCCACCCTGACTACCTCCCTGCGATTCCAAAGCGGTCCATAAATATAGTGTTTTTATTAACTCTAAGAAACTTTGTCCCTGTACATAATTCAGGGAGCGATTATGTTGTCAGCTCAGTGTAATTATGAAATTATGGTTGGCTAGTCATGCTGTACCATTTGGCTCAAAACAAAAGTCTTTGGTCTTTTACTTTTCAACCTCCCGAGTGAAAAACTGAGAGTTAAAGGTGACGGAGAGGATAGAGGGAGGGGTGACTGAGACAAAGAGACAGGAGATGAATTGGACATTTAAAGGGCAGGCAATATGAATAAAATGTCACATCGAGTTGCTCCTGTCAGCTGGGAAAGAAAAAAAAACCCAGCAGCATTTGATTTAGTAGCCATTTGGACAAATATAAGTTAAAGCTTTTTCAATTTTCAGAGCTCGTTTTAACAATCAGCACTTTTATTATTATTATGTTTTAACCAAAAGGTGTTTTGACTCACTGGACTTCTGGTTATTCAGCTAAAAATGGTTTTCTGTCCTTGTCTCTGATGCGAAAAGAAATGCCTTCACACAACACTTTGTGATATGTCTGGAACCGAGCATGTGTCTGTGAGAGTTTTAATAATCTGTCTGCTAGCTTTTGTGAAAGCGTTGCATCAAAGCTTTGAATCTATTCACACTTGCTTTCCTACGTCTGTGTTGCGGTTTGTTTTGTGTGCGATGTTGGAAGGTGGCAGTGATTAATTGCACGGTAAGGTTCGAACAAGCATTGTTTAATTAAATTCTCTGATAATGTCAAAGTTTATGTTTGCTGGGAGACAAGAGGTTGGGCCTTCTGTATCCCCTCAGCTATTACCCACTATTAATCATAGCTTGTTCGTGTGTGTGTGTGTGTGTGTGTGTGTGTGTGTGTGGTAACAAATGTAATTCTTCTTACATCTCCTCAGGGTAAAAAAAAATCAAAGGGCAATTCAATATTAATGGAAATGTTCTGAAAATGTTTTCAGGATCACAGTATAAACGTGTCACATTAGATGTTGCTTGTTGCATAGCAGTTTCTCATTCTGGCACCCAAAAGCTGTTTTGTAACTCTGGTCCTTTTCAGTCCTGCCTCAGAGCTGGTTAGAATAAGCTTTTGATATGAGTAACATTTTAATAGAATAAGTGCTGTAACCGGTGTGACATTTCCAGTTGCCAGTGTCTGATGTTTTTCTAAAAGTATATTATAAACTTAAATCTTACCAGAAATTGTCCAGAAGCTGAAAATGTATTACCTGCCTCTGTAACAGTTTTTCTTCCTTTTGTCGACTAAAACTCTTTACCCTTTTATTCACCTCCTACACCTCCAAGTTTAAGATATTCTAACTCTATATCTTTTTGGAAACCTAATGAATCTGGTTCATTCGATGCCTGGACATCATCTTCATGGAGTTATGATTTGATATGAGTGAGAAATCTGTCCAAGCTGCAAGAAACTATAACCATATTCATCCATTTTTGGGTTGTCTTAACGAAGATCAGCCTTTTCCTGCTTGTTATATACATTTGTATAAATAATTACATGTTTTTAAGTCTAATTTCTGTTTAACCTTAGAGACTTTTTTTTCTTCTTTAGGGGTGATAGGGAATAATTAGGGGGAGATAGCAGGTCAACAGTATATGCCACATAGAGGTGGTATACATCATCTGAAAACAGGGAACCTGAAGATGAATTTAAGATGCAGCTCAGCACTGTGTGTCATGTTTTTCTAGTCATAAATCTGTAATAAATGTGATCTGGTTAGCCACTTTTTCAAGTTTACACAAAATAGGGGCTTAGAACATATGAAGTATATGATAGCCATATCCAAGCTTAATTAGATCTCATAAGTTGTTTAAGGAATTTTTGGGTTGATACCATTTATTACACTGATTGGGTGCAAAATTTAACCCTTTTTGACCACTCGAGAATTGATTAAATTGGTCAAAGAAAACCCTCAAAAATGCCATATTACGACATCAAGACCTTGAGGTACGCCTCAAATCCATGCTGTGAATTGGTATTGAGAACTTTTGACATTTGGAGACATCTGTAATAATTGCGTTTCTCTGCGATTGGATGGCGGGTACTTCTGTTCCGGGAATTGCTCCAAATTCTCCCTATACACCTATAAAAGCCATACATCTTCTGAATGCCTGAGGTCTCTAATTTGTGGTTGTAAAGTTTCATTAATCTTTGACTATCTTAGAGGTCACAATAGATCATTTTATATTGTGGGGTCAAGTTTGGAAAAACAGTCTCACTACAATGAAATATCTACTATGGGGCCCAATACCTGTATATAAAGATGGACAACGTGTCTCCACTTACTCCCACTGTATAAAAATGAAGCCAAAATGTTCCGTATATGGCCACTGCCATCTTGTGCTGGTGGCTTTGTTTGGAGCTATAGTTTGCTCATTAGCAATGTGCAACCAGTCGTGAGCAGTTCTGTTGATCACAAGCACACTGAATGGCACACACAGCTGTCATTCATGCTGTCAGGCCCTCTTTTTATAGCATCAAATAAATAATTAAAACCGAGCTTGTAAGAAAAAAACATCTTGAACATTGGCAGCCGGATGAGAACTACCTAAAATGACAGAAACCATCTTTGGGAAAAGTTTATTTGACTTGTGGTTTGAGCTATTGGTTTTTCCTATGTCCCATCTCCCAATATGGAGTCGGCAAGCTTCATTACCTGTACTGCAGCAAGCCACTAGGAAGTGATCAAGATGTTTGGCTTCACTTTTTGGGAGCTGTCATTGTGTCCATCTTTTATTACCCTCCATTATGGGACTAACATCATCACACAGCATAGTTTTTGCTGGAAAACTGCATGGGATTAGCATACAGTGGGTATTTCTGTAAAGGGGGGCTTGTGGATAACCAAGGAACCCCATTTTTAGTCAGAAACATTGAGTTCAAGGCCCCCTCTTGAAAATGACTTTCAGTTTTTTACACACCAAAATTTTGCCTAACTTTGGAGCTTTTCCAAGCCCCCTTACCAGCAAGCTATCATGATATGATTAATACCAAAGGGAGCCTCAGGTTGTCTCGTTTCGCTTGATACCACCACCTTAGCTTAAATAATGAGCCTGCTATGGCCTTGTAAAGACAGTAAAGTTAGTTGTGCTCGCTGGGTCTCTAAATTTGATTTTGCCAGTCCTCCCACTTCCTGTTTATTTTAACAACAAAGGTGGAAACTGTGGTTCCAAACGATTATACAACTGATGGGATTTTTCAGGTACTCGTGAAAACATTTCCTTCAAAAAGCTGTTCACACCTGGTTGAAAATGATTCATAATGGCTGCCAGCTACTGTGTGTGTGTGATGCACCCAACAGTTTGGATCTCAGCCTTTATTAAAATGTCCCCCACTCCTCTGCTCCGCTCAGGGTATCACCACAGCCTCCCCTCCTCCCCCTACACATCTACGGCTGGACCCAACGGTCAGAGGTTACCTCCGTCTGGCACCCTCTCCTCTGAATACCTGAACCAGGGCGCCTCCACAAAGGTCCTCCTCCTCATCTGCAACACAGCGGGATCGGGCCAGCAGGCTGTCAGGTGAGCTTCAGGCAGACTCATTTCCAGTTGTTATTGTTGTTAGTTTGGTTTTTATTCATTTTGACCTGACATCATGCGCTCAGCTGTGGAGTTAGGGCTTCATCTTGTGAATTGGTTTTGTCGCACACACAGCAGCAGAGCCAGTCGTGGGTTGAGGTCGTGTCATCATACATTTGTGAGACAGGTTTTTAGAGCTTGTTCAAGTATAGCTGTGGAGACATCTTTCCTCCTGCTGCACTGTGTCTATGGTCTTAAATAGAATACCTCATTTATTTTTTCCTATTTTCATCATCCAATGCTGTCTCAATGTCAGCATCCGACTTCTGTTTGACTATGACCTGTATATCTATTGCATGAATGCCACAGACAGGGCTGGTTTTATTTAACTTGTGCGTCGCTCGAGCTCCCATTCTGCTGCAGCTGCAGGCAGACAGTGTAGAAGTCTGAGACTGAGTCGAACAATGCAGCTCAAACTGAAGCACTTAACCTGTGAAAGTTAGGCTTTATCGGTTGCCGTATGTTACTCTAACAAGGGTAGGCAGCATAATTAAGTTGCCAAGCACCTAGAATGCATCTGATGTACGACAGTAACACAGCTGGTTGGATGCTTTTTGTTTGCTGCCCACAGGCGAACTGTGTTCTACTGTTTGGGGATAAATGTCCCACAGCAGCTGAATGGCATCGCAAATCAGAGAAGAAATGCTCTGGTCATGTCTACCTCCCCAGTAATGACATTGTCGCCGTAGGCAACATCACGAATATTGAAAGGATCCAGACTCGTATAAGATGACATATTTTGGAGTCTGGTTAGAAGTAAGCAAGGATTAATTGACTTATGCAGCCAATCCAAGTTAATGCATGATTATTTTGCAGAAGATTTATCCACTACACTACAAGGATCATGGGTAAAGCAGGGCAGATAGTCCAGTTGAGCTTTTGGCAATTCATAAGAGTGAAATGTTTTGTAGAGTGAATGAAATACTTTTTTATTGTTGAAACATTTAAGATCACTGTGGTGAACTTTTTTTTTTTCACCCAACAGGGTATCAGCCATTTTAGAATACTTGTGTGAATTTTAATTTTACTAAAACATTTGAGGACTTTAGGATGCAAAAACTTATGACTTTACCTCCATGTTCAAATTAGTAGGTATTTTGGTTCAGTGGTGCCATTTGGCTTTGGTGCCGCACGTTGGCTCCATCACACCCCCAATTACTTTTAGCCTTTGAATGCATTTTTGACGTCCACGCTTAAAAACTCACAAAACTTGGCGCGTACATCACAACCTGTAAGAACATTAGCAGGCTCCATAGCGCCCCCTGGTGTATGAAAGGCCTCAGTTGAGTCACAGTTGCTCTGATATTCATGAAATTTGGTGTGTACAATGCTCTTATTATTTCAAACATATTTGTCATAAGGTTTCATTAGCTCCACCCACCTGGAAGTCAGCCAATTTGATTTTCATGTTTTTTTTGTGTATTTTATGGAAACTTCTTCGAACTCCTCTGAGAGGTTTTATCTAAAGGGATGCTAAGCTGCATTTGCTCGAACAATGATGTTATAGATCATATAAGGAGACACCATTTTAGGCACTTTACAGGTATGGAAGTTTACAAAATTCCTCCTAGAGATTTCAACAGATCTATCTCAAAGTTGGGCAGTAGAATCTCACCTTCCCAATGCTAAATTGAGAAGCTTGTGTTTTTGTGGAGTGATCTTGCCGTAGTCAGTGGCTCGGCACATTTCAGTTTCAACATGATGGTAATGGTAATGGTAATTGTGTCACCTACAGACAGCAAGAAGTCAGTTATTATGTGACAAACATCATCCAATTTACCTTAAATTGACATTGTCTGGTCTACACATAATATACAGCAACATGACGTTTAATTAATGTATGTTCTCTGTGCCACATAGTGGACACAGGAAGTAGTACAAAATTTCAGCTACACGCACTCCAGGCAGGTAATACCATCGCATGCCTGCGTGCAGTGTCCAACATACACAGTAACGCACAGCTGTCTCAACCAGCATCCCACCAATACCAGTGACGTGCGTGAAGCTGCAAGGGCCCTCTTATAGCTGCTTGCAGCTTACATTGTTGTCTGTTTTTACTTCAGTGTAGTGAGTATTTCATTTTGCATTAAGAGTGAATTTTGTCAGGCGTAGATTCACTGCTGGAAACATTTCACTTTGGTGCCCACTGACTGGGGCGGTCAGTTCCTGCTGTGTTTGTAGAGACACATTGATGATGCAAACAAAATGTTCCTCATCCTAGCAGTACTCTCTCAGCTTTGTTCCAAGGACTGTAGTTAATTTAATTGCAGTGAATTTAAGTCACTGTGATGTTCCTGAACCCATTATGAGACTCTGTGTGCTTTGTAATGCAGAGCGTCATTCTAATGGATGTATTCATTTGACCAAGGGTAGACTGTGTCCATGAGAGTGCCTGGTTAGGATTGTAGTAGCATTCAGACAGTAATCCTGTAAGGGGCTTATTATGTGCAAAGAAAATATTACCATTACCATTCTAAGTGCTCTTAGATCATATGGATTGTTCAGATTTCCCTATGGGGATCAATAAAGTTGAACTTATTATTGATTCAATGAAGAAAGGATTCATGTTTCACATCAGTGATCCAGTTTCAGTCATGATGTTTGATAACATTCTCATAACAGACCTAATAATGCCAGAAAGTGACATTTGAGGACTCATTTGTCCACATGTTACTCGTGCACATGGTAGTAGACATCTGACGGGCGAATTCACAAAGGATAGATTGAGGCCACTGATAGCACCATGAACTGTGTATCACTTGCAACTGCTGTCTGCCCCATCTCAAGGTTTAATTTACAAAATATTATTGCATTGATGATGATACAGCACAAACACAGCCATGCAGAACAATGGCAGAGAAAAAAAGAAAACTTGAAAACTTTCAGACTACAAGCTACAGGTCCTGGCTGAAGAAGTAGAGAGGCATCCCCCATAACTGCAGGCAAAAAATTTAAGCGTGTCAGAGAGAAACCATATTTGGGATTTAATGTCCCAGTATCTTAGTGTGCTTCAGTTACCACTAACTCTTTAAAGACACTTAAAATTTCACTGTAACTGCATGTGGCTATTAGCACTTATCTGTGTGAATTGGGCTGTTTTTGCAGTAAAGCTCATTTGCATACAAAACGGGCAATTTTGCGCCAGATGTATTCATATTAGCTCATTTAAATACATGCAAATGGAAAGGGAACACTGAGACGCTATTTGCATGGCAGTGCAGTTAGGGGCACATGTCACCCTTTGTGGGGGCTTTTGAGAATTACACGTTATTTTTGTCTTATTTGTGCAGGTTTAAGAGCTGCACAGTCCTGTTGTGAATTAGGCCATGAGCAGGATTGCAATGGTATGAGATTTTTACTGCATGATAACTGTCTCAGACAATATCATGGATTCACAGTATCACAGTAAAGAGTATTTTGTTGTTATGATTATCATTATTATCAATTACAAAGACCCTTAAAAGACAATTCTTAGTCTGTTGCACTACTCAATAGTTTAGTTTAGTTTATTTAATTTATAAAAGGACAGTGTGCAATGACATTAATCATTTACAAGAAATGAAAACATGGTTGTACCAGATTTAGTGAAAGTCTAATTCCCATCTGTAGTCCTACATATAACAAGTAGACGCAATAAATAAAAATAAAATTCAAGGTATAAAGCAGACTACAGAAAATCCACATGCCTAACATAATAGAAGCAGTACTTACACACTGCATAGTACAAAATACAATATAAAAAAAAAAAATCACAGTAGCTACCTTATTAAGTGACCAGGTTGCCGGTGCTGATGCCTTACATAAGCAAAATGAGAGTAAGCGTCCATTGCAATGGAAGTAGCTACTGTAGCATTTAGCTACTATAGCTACTTTAGCTGTCATGATGTCAACATTTTTTTGCATAAATAGTCCAAGAAACTGAACCAAATGGCACTAAACATGGGCAAAAGTATTTATACATGTAACTCACTAAAATGTGTAGACACCTGAATAATACACCCTCCATTCTCCTGAGACTGCTTCCCACAAGATTTTGGTAACCTGTCTGCAGGGATCTTCTCCGACCCAGCCACAAGAGCCTGGCTCACAGTCTGCACTCCAACTGATCTCCAAGATGTTTGAGGTTGAGGTCAGGCAAATTAAGATCTTTGACTCCAAACTTGGAAAACAATTTCTCCCTTTGTGCACAGGGCCATTGTCATGTTAAAACAGGAAAGGGCGTTCTCCCAGCTGTAAGTTGGAAGCACACAAATATCATTGTATGCTGTAGCACTAAGATTTCCCTGCATTGAAACTCATGGGTCCCGCCAAACACTTGCTGTTATTATTATACAGAGAGACAACAAACAACAGCACCACAAATTACAACCTCCAAAACAACCATAGCATTGAATCAACACCTCTGTAAAATATCCTAACCTTCATGAAGGTAGGATTTAATGCAGAGCTGTTGTTTAATGGATGTTGCTTCAAAGTACATTAGTTTGAGCTACGTGTACCCACAGGAATAAACTGGCAATTAAGTGTACAGTAAGTGTGCGAACCTTGGAACTTTAATCTTCAGCTGTGTATGACTGAATAATCTGAGATCCTGAAATACTTGACAAACACAGCTGCCTCTTCCATTAAACTCACATATAAAAACCTCTGATAGCCACTGCTGTGCAGTAAGGAGGAGCACCAGCCTTGAGTTAACCTAGAGACAGAGAACCCATTATGAGGCATTGATGCATTGATGATATACAGACTGGTTTCTCTGCTTTATTTGGCCCCTGGCCCCACCTAATGTCACTGTAAGCTGTCAGTACAGGACACTGACAGGCGCTGACAGTAAAGCCTTGATGCACCTGACAGTTTGACAGATGTGGTGATGACACAATAAGTTACAATGACCTTTATACTGGCACTTTCTCAGCCTTATTAGAAATTAATTTATACTACTTTGAAGTGTGGATGACTTTCCAAGTTAACCAATCATTGTCCTCCTCTCCTCTCCTCTCCTCTCCTCTCCTCTCCTCTCTCAGGTTTGGGCCTCCATTTCTCATGCGTGAAGACAGGAGCATCTCCTGGGATCAGCTGCAGCAGAGCATTCTCAGCAAGCTCTATTATCTGATGCTGAATGGATCTCAGGCTCAGGTAATGTCCACACACCCCAATAGCCAATAACATGTCACCTACTCTATATCTGTAGCCTGCCCCGGACCCTTCAGCTCAAGGGTTCACAGACCTTATCAACTCCAGTGGACCAAATTAAAATAGCTGTGCAGAGCAGAGATTAGTTGGAAGTTTAATCAATTTTCATTAAAGTTGGGTACTGTGTTTAAATTAGATAGTTCTTAGTGTCTGTTTGCAATTGTCTGAATCACATTTGAAACCAAAAATGAAGATAAAGGATAAACCACATAACATTGTGTTTAAAAAAGTAGTCCCTCAGATGCACAGAATGTGTTTAATAATTGACATAGCCACTGAGGCGTCACCATTGGTTTGTGGGCTCCCACTTTGAAGTTTAGTGTTTGGCACTTTGGTCACCGCCATTTTGGATTTTCAGAGCCAGAAGTGGCCATATTTGGACAAGGAGGTGGAGATAACTCTAATGCTCCTTTTACACTGCCAGATTTTCGGTGAATGTTGGGCCTTTTTGCTGGCAAGCTGCGAGCGTTTAGACACACAGAGCTGGATTGGCAAGTTGATCCGAGGTGCCCAATTTTCCGCCTCACAGGTGGAAACATATTGGCAGAACCTTTTTGATTTAAGAAGAATGAGGTGCCCTCCCGCCACGGGAGGGGCTGTTGATGACTTATGGGAGGAGCTGTTGATGACGCCGCACGTGCGACCCACTGGCAGTGGACTAACAGGAAACAGCTGATAGCAGCAATGAGCAGCTACAGTAGTACTCGTAGCAAGAGGGAAACGCAAACCTGACAGACACTGTAAAGATGAGCAGCTGGGGAGAAAAGGAATTGCGCGCCCTCCTTGCCCTCGCACATGAAGATGCCATTAACCATCAAATGATGGGAACGATGAAGGAAGGGCCGACTTACAAGAGAATCACTGAAAGACTGATTAGCCGTGGCTTCCCTTGGAGCAAGGCTGTTTACGTCACACGCTGAGCTACGCATTTTGTTACTTGCTCACGCCCCCACTGCCCCGAAAAAGGCACTTTCTATATGAACAAAAGTAGGCAGGCAGCATTTTGCTGCACTCCCCGATTTTGTTTTTGTACTGCCAATGCTGAACAAAGACTGCTTGGGCTTTCCTGCAATTTGCACAATTCCTATTTAAAAAGGGCTTAAGGCTAGCTGCTAGCGTGGTTAGCACAGTGCATTTACAGTTATGGTTAACTGTGACATTGCTAATGTTAATTTTCACTGAGAAAAAAAGGCTTAAAAACCATGAAAAGAAAATTAGCTTACCATAAAAATTGAAAATCTGACCTTCTTTTAGTTCAACCAAAGGCTGAGCAAGATTTTCTTAGGTGACCAAAATGTCACAATCACTTTTCATGAAATGAAACACACTGACATAGCAACATCTACTGCTATGCCTATACTCTGTGAAGCTGGGGGTTGTGCCGTGGTTACATAAACTTACCAGTGTTGTAGCCATGTTAATGACTTCTCAATAGATGGCACCCACTTGTCACTCAAAGCAGCCAGGCCCTTAGTAATGCCTAACTTTAAGCCTTAATAACATTTAAAAAGGAGAGTTATTGAAAAATTCAACTCCTGTGCAGTTGTCATGAATGAGGAAATTAGCTATAGAGACCAAAACCATTTTTTTGTACCAGGCTGTAAACATGTTTATTCTGCTGTAAAGTTGGGCATTTTAATATGGGGGTCACCTGGGATTGACTTGCGCCTGTAGCCAGCCTCAGTGGCCATTGGAGGAACTGCAGTTTTTAACAATTCCATGCTGGCTTCTTTTTTTAACCTGGAAGTTTGCTGCCTGGTCAGATGTTTGTTTTTCATGATTTTGCTAATGATTTTTTAATAAGAGCTCAACGCTCTGCTGAGACTACAAAACAGATGCTCTGCTTAACATGCTGAGTACATAACTGTTGGATTTTCTTTTGCTGAAGTTTGGGTAACCCTTTGCATGCTGCGCCATAGTGACTACAGTATTGCATCAGCTCCTCATTGATTATCTATTGTGATTTTCTTTTCTTTTTTTTAATTTATACTTAGTCATCACGTCTGATTTAATAATTCAAATTTAGTGTTCTGCAGTCAATTCTTTGATGTTGGAGTGCATCAATCTCCTGTTCTGCCAAAATGCTTGCAAAAAAGAACAATGTAATTTCTGACAGCAGAAACTGCCAATATTGAATGAATTCTTTGATTAAAAGCAAAGAGTGCACCTCAGGACACTACATTCACACACCCGCACACACTCAAACATGGTCCAGGCCTTTTATGGGAGAGTAATAAGGGTTTTATGTGCTGAGCATACATTTAATTATGTCACTGCGCGCTCAAAGCCCAATAACACAAATCCTTGTCTTAACCACTATATGAGAAGTTCTTTACTTCAGAATAATGAGTGAAGATAGGAGGCGGTTTTTTATTATATTGAATTTAAAATGTGTACTATTACTGCTGCTTAAGCTTAAGATGTACACAATACATCCTGTGACTCTTGAGTGTTTGTTTTGCAGACACAGCCTTGCATGTTAAAATCCACCTCTACTTTCTCCTCCACTCAGTACAAACTGCACGCTTTGACGACGATCCCCGACAAGCACGTCTCCACTTCATCTGTTCCTCCACAGACCATTTGAGTGATCTGCACACCACGAGCCCTAAACCACCGTTTCACTCTCAAATACACAGACACTCATGCACTCACATCGCCCCCAGTGCTGGCCGTCAAGTTGCCATGGGCAACGCCATGGTGACAGGCAATATTTGAGGTGGCCTTATCCAGAGCGAGCAGCTTTCAGCTTTATAAGAAAAGAACTAAGGCGGAGGAGAAAGAGAAATATCAGCCTGTTATTTGTTGATTGCTATCTCTGTTTCTTAGTTACCTTCTTAAAGCCTGTCTGGCCAAACACAAACTCAGTGAGACTTCCCTTCCCCTCTTCACCTATTTGTTTTTAATTAACACAATCACCAGGGTCTTTTGGTTTTAGATTGAACAGATATTTTTAAATGAAAGGGCCACCGATATCCCAAGGGTGCTTTAATTTTTGCTGATTCTTTGTTGTCTAAAAGAAAAAAAATAGACAAAATATGAGCTGCTGTAAAACAAATTAGGGTTCCTTCCTCCCTACTTGACAGGCAGCAGGTGTGAGTGCTTTGCTGCCAGTAATTTGGGTGCCGCTTCTTCTTCTTAATAAAATGTTTTGGCGCCATCCAGAGGTTTACTCAGCAAGATACAACTTTCAGTTCAGGGTATAAAAAAAGAAAGCATAATACCAGCTGTTGCTGACTTGCATGTCAAAACACAGCTCCTCTTTCCCAGCCCCGATGTTCTGTGAAAAGAATAATATCAGAACTGACAGAGGGAGTTAATGCATTAGACTGTGCACTAAAGGTTGAGCGTGGTCTGTGCCAAACGGTCAGTCGAGTGATTTTAGAGCTGGAGGAAAGATTTACGAATTGGATGAGAGGTAGAATTTGTTGTTAGTGTGTTGGGAAAAAAACACTTGTTGTTACCACACCATGGCTGTAATGACTGGAAGAGATTAAATATTTCCCTCATGACTTTTCTTAGGGTGCTTTTTAAAACATTTACATTCTTTAGACTGTTTGAAATAACAAGGGGGGTTAATAGTTAACATTTGAGTAATGTTGGCTTTCCTTGTCAAGATATTGTCATCAGCTACTTTTTAGCTGATTCCAAATCAGCTGACAAGCTTCACTTGTTGCCTTTACAATATACTGGAAGAATGAATGAAAAAACAAATCCTTAACTTTTCTTAATTATGTTTTCTGCCTTAATCCTTATTATAGTGAAACCTGATCTAAACTTGGCGGAACAGTCTTTGACAGCACTCTGCATTTCTTTGAGTTTTAAAACTGTGCTTTTTTGAGATCCTAAAGGATCTGTTGGGGAGTAGTGAACTACATGTAATTAAACTAGTAGTTTAATTACATTTTGCAGTAGCTTTCTTACTTACAGTGATTCATAACTGCTTATTCCCTTGAGGGTTGTGGGAGCCTATCGCAGGGTACACCCTGGACAGGTCGCCAGACTAGCACAGGGCTAATACATAGAGACAGACATCCATTCACACCTACGGGCAGTGTAGAGTCACCAATTAACCTGCATGTCTTTGGACTGTGGGAGGAAGCCGGACAGCGCTAACACAGGGAGAGCATGCAGACTCCGCACAGAAGGGCTCCCTCCTGGGATTGAACCAGGATCCCTCTTGTTGTGAGGTGACAGTGCTAACCACTGCACCACCATGCTGTCCTTGTAGTGATCCAAGTAGACTCATTACTTTTTTTGCCATTTTTTTGTATAGATAACTAATGAGACAGTTTTAGGCCATTAAAGGAAAGAAATACACTTTTATTTTTATTTTACCATTGCTCAGCAGCTGTAATTGAACCCCTTTGATGACAATGAGTCATAAGTATTGATTATTTCTATTTATCAGCATGTTCAGAGAAATTGTTGCATGCTGTTTTAGAAGTTAGTTGGCTATCTGAGTAATCCTGCTTGGTGCAGCAGTACTCCCACCAGGACTTCCTGCAGGCAGGTATCTGACTGATGGACATCATATACAAAACCAAAGCTGACATTCCTGCACTTGAATAGTGGGATATTTTACTTTTTTGGTTTATGACCTGTGAACTATTGGGCTCTTTTTGCAATTAACTCAGTTGAGTGGCATTTTTTCTGGCACTTGACTTTTTTTGTCTTATATATTGTGACAGTTTTGTACCACAAAATAGTTTGAACTACTTTCTCTAAATAGCTTTAGTTACCCAAACTAGATTTCGCCCTCGAGTGACATTGCTGTAGTTCAACTTCTTCCAGAGTGAAGTAATTGGAAGCTTGCAATCCTATGCTGTCAAGGTTGCTTCCCCAGCACTGATTGCCAGATTCTGGCCGGACAGACCAGTTACAATTTTAAATCTTAGGTCTGTTACTGAATGCCAAATCAATCAGAGTTTACAGTTCAGATCACAGATCACAGTTCTGAAGTATTTTTTTTATTTATTCATAAAGAGTTATCGATCAACTGTGAGAGGTCAAAACTAGTTATAGATTTAAAGGTCTTTAAGAATTCTGAATCTTCTGAATTGATGTTAGAATATCCCATAATAATAGCATCCTTTAATGAAATGCATGGGTTTTTTAACACTCTCAAAGTTCTCATGGGTCTAGCTTATGATTCCTTACAGGTTGACAAGATAATTTAATTACATAGGATACTACCTGCTTCTTAAATCATGACCCCTCCTCCCTTTAAGTCACGCTCTCTCCTTATTTTTAACAGGGCTTGTGTAGTGCTCTTCTTCATTATAGTCCAATAGATAGATGAAACCATCTAAATTTAAACTCGCTCAGGCCTTCAAAACTGAGAAGAGAGACTATGTCTTTTTCATTTGCAGTTTTAGGCTCCTATTAACCAACTAATTTATTTCTTTTTATGCTCGGCTGCGGTTCCTATTCTCCAACGTTGGCCTGCACAGAATGAACGCATTAGCAACCGGTGCTCCCTGCTCCCTAATACCTCAGCCCTCTTGCCTTTGCTGCTGAGCATCAGAGGAGTCATAGTCCATCTATAAATGCATTTTCTCTATTCCAGTAAGGAGGCGGCAAGAGTTGCTGTGTGGCAATGTTATGTATCGATCCTGCAGGATTCAACAAATGAAAGAAGTTGTTGGAATGCTCACAGATGTTTTGTAATTCTGAATAACTTACTCACATCCACACAGTCCATTTGAGGGCTTAACAATACCCAAAGACAATACTTGGCTCTTGTTTCTCTCCATTCACACTGCATCTCAAACTTTGTTCAGCTGTGAGTCAGTGTGCTCGCAGCTGCCAAGCCTACATACATTACACTGCGGGTAACCACAGCAACAGTGCTGCTGCTTAAAGCCAACTTAACTTTTCAGGGTGATGTTAAGCTCATTTAACTTGAGGATGTAGTTTGTGGTGTTGCATGCATATAATGCATTGCATTATACAAAAGAGTGTTTCTGTTATTAGACTAAAGAAATCAGGATTTGTCGCGCACGATGTATTGCTGCTCCCGTGCTTTATTCCCACACCAAACAAATAAGCAACGTTTCGCCTCACATAGGAGGCTTCATCAGGCTTACAGAGTAAAGGGCAGTCCCTCTTTTTATAGCATGTTCTCCAATAAGAATGAGGCTATCTGGAGAGCTACAAAATACATATAGGAATAATATTATTTCTCAACCAATCACAGATGCATTTTACCATGTTTTTCACAGATTCAATTAATACACTTATGAAAAACCATTTATAAAAAAACATTTATAAAAAGAAAAAATATATACATATGTATTATTTACAAAAATGGTCTAATATAAAAGTCCAAATTCATCCCATGGGGTTGGAGTGTCTTTAATTTATGGATCCAGAATGTTTCCCTTTGTTGTAGTAGTCTGGTCAGATCCCCCCCTCTTCATGGATATTCCACTCTTTCAATACCAATGTACCTCAGCATAGAGACACTATGGCTCGTTTGTTTAAAATGTGCTGCTACTGGGTTTCTCATATCTCCTGTCCGGATATCACTTCTGTGTTCACTTATTCTAGTTTTAAGTGCTCTTGTCGTCATACCAACATAGGCTAAGGAACATGGGCATTTAATCGTGTACACCACATGTGTTGTTGTGCATGTAATTGTGCCCCTGATCTTAAACTTTTGTCTAGTAGTAGGATGGTAGAAAGAGTCACGTTTATTGGTCAAGTTACATTGTGCATCTGATGTTAGGTGCTCGTTTGAAAACAACAGTAAGGCGTTCATTGAAAGAGCAGCACATATTAAAGAACTGGCTTCATTAGTCCTGACAAATAATTTCTTTCATTTCAAAGAAGATATTTATCACCAGATTTGTGGGACAGCAATGGGGAGTAAGATGGCACCTGGATATGCAAATTTATACATGGGGAAATTTGAAAATGACTTTGTATTTAATCCAGAGAAAAACACATTCTTGAAAAATATTAAACTATGGAAACGATTCTTAGATGATATTTTTCTTATCTATGAGGGTGACAAAGGTGAAATGATACAATGTCTGAACCTCCTAAATGAGGCTAATGAACATCTCAAATTTACTATGTGTATGAATGAAAATGAAGTAAACTTTTTGGATGTAACTGTCATGAAATAGTAGAGGAAACTTGTCACAGATCTATACAGAAAACCCATAGACCACAACACATTGCTGCGGGGTAATAGTTTTCACCCTCTGGCACTCAAGAAGAGCTTACCTATTAGTCAATTCAGTAGGTTACAATGTATTTGTGGCTCAAATGAGTTATATCAGACAAATCCTGATTTCTTAAGTTTTCCCTTTGATGTCAGCACCGATTGGAATAAGTTGATTCAGAGGATGTGCATTCTTTATATTTGTTTCACTCTGTTATTAGACTACCCTCATAGATTTAAAATATAAATAGAGTTGACAAAATAAAATAAACACCTGTTAGTATAATTACTTCAACAGAAAACAAACTGCAGCCTCCAAAATGATCATACAGTTAAATTAGCACCTCTCTAAAACATGATAAAACTCACTTCACTTAAACAAACTGTTGATTAAACCAAGTGTTTCACTACATGAGCCAAAAGACTTCTGTCATTTTTTAGATGTTTCAACAGACTTCTTCTCTGTAAATATTTAGTTTAGTTTAGTTTATTGGTTTAAAATACAGAGACAATGCACATTAATAAACATTACTGTAAATATGCCGGTTTAGCCAGGTTGGCTAATTTGCAACCATAGTCTCTGGGGCAGGTGACATGAGCACTACAATCATTAAAGTATACACTGCATAAAATACCTATTTAAATACAGTAAAATACAAATATGGTATACATGACAGTTTTAGAGCAGGTGGTCACAGAGTTGACCATCTCTCAGCCATGATTTTAAGTTACATTTAAAAGAAAGATATCATGATATCATGTGTCATACTCCCTGAGCGTTGTTGGAAGACTGTTCCATGTCTGAGGTGCTCTCACAGAAAAGGCTGCCTGACCAAAAGCAGACTTCCTGTTCAGTACTACACAGTCGCTTCTACTGTCAGTAGAGGTTTTCTGTTTTATAAAATTACAAAGAGGGGGAGGAGCCAAGCCATGCAAGATAAGCAGTCTGCCAGTGTAGAAAAACAGAACTGTTTTGCCTAATATTTTCCTGTGGCGGGATGCCTTTTCCAGTTTTGTTGTTTACATCCATAAACAACGCAGCACACACTTTATTTAAAACATATTTTTTATACAGCATGTCTCTATAATACTCCATGCAAAATAATCTGCCATAGTTTTTATCATATAACATGAGGTTTCTGTGTTTGTATTTTTATCTTCTGTGCTCTTTTCACTGGTTTGAAGTGGGCGGGACTCAGTTGGAAAATGTGATGTCGCTGATTCCCGTGCACCAATCAGAATTTAGCAACAGCTGGATCAAAATGCCATAACAGTTGTTGGGGTTGCTGATGTTGCCTGCACTGTCAACCAGATGAAACCACATCCAAACAGTCATGGTGAAGAAGACCTAGTGAGCTTTTCAGTGTAACTATTCATAATTAATAACTAACCTGTATTTTCCCCCTTAACATTAACTTTGATCATTGAGCATTTAATCACAATGTTATTAAGAAAAACATGTTCTGGTGGGCTTTAAGTTTAAGTCTTACTGCAATGCTGCGTTACCCTCTCTACATTTCTCTCTGGATCTTACTTGTTAACTGGCTAAAGCACATGGTTGCTATATAAAGACAGCAGCTGTGCTATCTGTCACCCATCAGAATATTTAAATGACATCTCTTGTATCGTTGCCTCTTTATACCTCTTAAGCATGAGTGTTGCACTTCAGAGTGAATCTATCTTCCAGAGTGTGGGGGGTGTTATTTATACTATCAGCGTTCACCTTCGTCTGTCCTACAGAAGCCAGTGTTATAAATACAGCAGTGGTAGCTGTCTTCCAACAAATGTGTGTGAAGGCAGACTTTTTATTTAACAGCAATAATGATGAAAATGTTCACATGCACACACACACATTGGGCACACTCTGTTAACTATTGGGGGAAAGGATGAAGGACTACGGGCTGTAGGCTGTTTTGTCTTGATTGTTTGAACATACAGCAGTATAAAATATCTCTTCATTGATTTATAAGTCCTTAAATTGTGCTTCACTGCACACCGCTGCTCATCAGCTTGCTGCTTGAGCACGCTGGTTAAAAATCAATGTTCCTTTGAGTTTCATTCTTTCACAGATTATTAAAGTTAAACAAGCTTTTGTGGATTTATCTACAATTTCATTTTTATCATTTCAATCATAAAATCATTTTACCACTGAATTTATAGCTCGGCATTGAGGGGGGTCAACAGGGTGATGCTAATGTGTTTTTCTTTCCCTGCAGAATGCTGGGGTGCTGTTTAAGATCAGAGTAGTTGGAGGATCGGCAGCCTACAGCTACCTGTCCCCACAGGACAGCCGGCCGCTGTACCATCCTGCAGTTGACAGGTAGGACACACACGCACACGTACACTCACTCAAAGAAAAACAACACACTGCACTGTACACCTACACTGTGCCTCATCAACATATACTGCACAGTCTTATACAGTGCTCTACACTCCAGGAATTTATATTCAGAACGCACTGCAAAGAAGGGTTTTACGAGCGCATAAGACTCAAAGCTACAATTCCTTTCAGGAGCGAATGGACCTTGAGAGGATTACAAGGAACTGAGTATAATGATTTCAGTTTCACGGTATGATGATAAGGCCTTTATTTCCTGTGTGATAAAGAGCATGCTGCTGAGGAGCTTAGTATAAATCTCTGCTGTTGTTCTACTGATCTGCAGTGAAGGTCAGGCCTGCCACAAAGAAGTTAGGAAATGAGATCATCTTTCAGATTAGACCAGTCATTCACTGGGTGTGTGTGTTTGTGAGTGTGTGAGCACCTGTCTGTGTGTGTTCATGCTTTTGTGTGCTGATATCACATTAGGATAGGATCATATCAACTCACAAAATAGCCATGGTGCGTGTCTAGTGTGCTTGTCATTCCTTTGCATATTTCATTTATTTCCTGTTTTTTTTTCATACAATTATGTAGCATGAACCAGTCGCCAAAGCTTTGGTATTCCAAGTTTTTGAACCTTTTTTCCAGACTGTTAAAAGTATACTATGCAGGATCTGTCGGTTACTGTTTGTGAACAGTATTGCCAGCGAAAGTGAAAGGGCGTCCACATCATCACTACCAGCGTATGCCTTAGTAGACGGAGCCTGCACACCATTCAAAACGCACACGCCGGATACCCGACTAAATTCAAACGACAAAAGCAGCGTGCACCCCTACCTCGACTACATGGCTGACACAACCACAACAATCACTCACTTTTTTGATTCCAGTCTCAGCCCTAAATAGCGAAGTAAAGTACATTATGCTGTTACAACTGAAATAAGAGCAGGCAGCAGGTGATTGCTGGTACCTTTTATCTCTGTGGCATCATTATCTCTTCAACATTAATGACACAATAAACCTTGATTGCCTAAGAGTGATGTTTCTCCCTCTCCACTTGTCATCACTTTTTGCTGGATTGCCCTCCAGCTGTAGAAAAAGGAGCACAGCCAGTGCAAGATAACCCAAGATGCACTGTATTTGTGGGGGGCGTTTCGGCACTGTGTCTAAAGTATTCATAGTTTTCTCTTGGATGTGTGCTGCTTGCAGTTTGGGCACCTGGTTGCTACCTTTTTATAAAGTCCAGACCTCACCTGTGCACTGTAACTACAGATGTTCTGAGCACAGCAAAATAAGACAAAAATGAGAAATCGAGGCAGAGGGAAGGGCATCTGCAGATGAATACATTGCCACACACTTCTAGTGGGTCATAAGTGATGGTTGAGAGGGATTACTTTTCTATGAGTGTACAGTATTTTTTTAAATCCTGCATAGTTGACTTTTAAGGATTAGTTCTTCCACATTACAACACAATATTGTCCCACGTATTCTTCAAAAGCCATGCTGGTGGTATAGTCTTGTACATCTCTACCATCTCTTCTACCAGCATCTAATGCATTGGTAAGATATAAGATACCTTGGCACTGCATCGTCCCACTAGTATAATGCACATAGTTGTTTTTAATATAATACAATTGAATTACAGTTTTCAATTTACTGCTGTGGTCATCTACTGTGTAATCACCTCATTACTAGATGTTTGCTGTTTGTCTGCATGTTGCTGCAGAGACTGGTGAGTGCCACTAGAATGTTTGTATAATTTTGCAGTGTTTAATGGGCCAGCTGTTATGTGCTGGCAGGCGTCTGGCCAATCAAAGCTCCTACTGCTGCTCTGTGAGATGGATTTAATTTCATTTCTAGGTGGCAGTGCTCACACAGAGAGCTGTCTTTCAATGAGAGCGATCACATGGAAAGGTTAAATTGGGAAAAATGAGTTGTGACATGGAGCATGATAGGCAGGCACATTAGTGGATGGAATAAGAAAAAGTAGGAATTTTTCATTTCAGATTTGAATTTCAGTGATGAATTAATCATTTAAAGACAGTAAAGGGTAATAAAATTACCTGTGATCTTTTTATGCCTCTGCGCCAGCTATAGCTGTGGCTGGAGGTACTAAGTTTTCGGGTTGTCCTTCTGTCCGTCCTGTCCTTGTGAATGCAATATCTCAAGAACGCCTTGAGGGAATCTCCTCAAATTTGGCACAAATGTCCAGTTGGAGTCAACGGTGGACTGATTAGAATTTGGTGATGGAGGGTCAAAAGTCAAGGTCACTGTGACATGACAAAACATGTTTTTGGCCAAAACTCAAGAATTAATTTATTATATATGAAAAAATGAAATGTCTAATAGGATATAATTGTGAAGTGACGATTTATGCAAAAGGTCAAAGGTCAGCTTCACTGTGACAGTATAATTTGCAAAAAAACACCATTCTGGCCATTTTTCAACATCATAACTCAGGAAAAGAAGGGGAGAGATTTGGTCAGATACTGAATTGGTGACACTAAACTTGGGTGTCCAGCTTTAAACTGTTCTGATTTAGTAGATCGTCTGTGCTGATGGAGGGAAGATGTGTGTGAAGCATGTTTTCACAAGCATGGATGTAAACTTTAAGTGCAACTTGACTAGAGCAGACAACTGCAAGGGGGTAATTCTAGTTTATTATTGGGTACTTGTTGAAATTAAACACTGTAAAATTCATACTCTAGCCTTCATAGTCTGTGTTTCTGCTGCTTGCTTTATTATTTATTGGAATCCACGACTTAAGAAATGTCCACTTTTCACAGAACAAATACACACACTCACACACACACATGCATTCACAATTGCACACACATATAGTCTTAGTTTTTAATATTCACAAAGCCAAGTAGCCCTGTGACAACTCTATGAATCCCTGAGTAGGGAAAATGGGTTTTTAAAATGAGTGAATTGTTTTTGTGGGAGCGATCTTGTGTGCAATGTGTCTGTTTTGTGTGTTCAGTATATTGTTGTGAGTGTGACACCACCAGAGAGAAGGTTGCTCATTTATCCAGAGGCTATTATTATTATTGCAGCACTTATGTAAAACTCAAGCCCAAATCACAAGCAGAGAAATAGGAGCATTTGTAAGTAATAGCTGGTAATTCAGTATTGTTTTATTGAGCTCTTTAACCTATCTGGAATGTGTTGACATGTTATGTAAGGCTGACATCTAGTGGTAATGATCAGTACGGGCATTTCTGTGCATTGAACACGTTGACAGTAAACAATAGGTTGTGCTTAGAAGATGGAGTGAAACCACTCACAGTGAGATCAGTCAATATCGGGCGGTACTGGAAATCTTCAGACCGTCTCCATCCAGAATACAGATGCTTTGCGTTATCGAAGGGAATTTCATTTTGACACAACTCCAAAGCATTTGCCGTCAGAGATCCGTCATATGCCTGCAACAAAAAATATAACTTGTGCCCAGAGCATCCAGCGATTGTTTAATCTACCTTGGCCCTCTGTCAGCACTGTTTGGCTGCTGAATACCAATGATGTTTTTTATCTTTCCTCCCGAGATCAAAGCAGTGTAGAAACATTCAGCAATACAAACACAACACCTTCAGCTACATAATGACTCACATCAGAAGGTTGCATATTAATACATGGTGTGAAGTTAGGTCTCACCTGTGCAGATGTCACTCTGTCTAATCCCGCTGTTGCCTGTGTGTATCAAGGAGAAATAAAGTGAAATAAACAAAAACAAACATTCTTAGTCTCAGGGCCGTGGCCAGCACAGAGGGGCCATTATCTGCTGCATGACAGCGGCACAGATTTCAGCCTCCCTTGGTTTTGTGGTTGCATGCTTTTTCAGATGCGGCAAAACTTTCTACAAACACTGACTAAACTAAGATCATAAGATGTGTCTTTAAAGTCTGTGTCTTGCTGTCTGGTAGGGCTCTGAAGTTCTGTGGCCCTGGGGGACCCCCGCACGTTAAGGTTGTCATCGAATGGGATAACAAGACTAAAGAATGGTAAGCGTTATGCACATTTAAATTTCTCATGGCGTATACAAATGTAAATAAGCACGTAGGCAGAACACACACACAGATTATCGACTGTTGTGGGTGTCATCCTGAATATCATTTGACCATTTGCTTGATTTCCCAGAACACACGCTGATTCAGTCTGTGTGTGTCTGTGTGAAATGATGCAAACATACATTTACACTGATCTGATTACACTGTGTGTGTGTGTGTGTGTGTGTGTGTGTGTGTGTGTGCGCTCCAGTCTCTTTGGCAGTATCCAAGAGGAGGTGGTGAAGGACGCAGAGAGTGTGAGGAACCAGCAGCAGCAGCACCTACAGCAGCATAGTTGTACCCTGGACGAGTGCTTTCAACTGTATACCAAAGAAGAACAGGTGAGACTGAAGACAACACAACATTTCAGTAAACAACATCAAGTGTGATTCTCACTTCAATTTGTTTCTTTTTTTATTTTAAGCCAAAACATGACTGACTTTGTTTTCACCTTGTGTGTGTGTGTGTGTGTGTGTGTGTGTGTGTGGTTCTGGAGACACTTGTTGTAGCTGAAAATACCCCAGAAGCCGCTTTGAGTACTTTTCCTGGACAGATTTTTATCAACACAATAATGCTGTGGCCTTGCAAGATGCAGTCACAAAACTTAACAGGTGTGTAGTTGAGATCAAAATGAAGGCCCAGTTCGAAGATGGGTGTAGTCTGAGTATGGGGGCTGGACATAGCAGGGTTTTTCCTGGCTCAAAATGAGGTGGGACCATCCTGATCATGTGTTCTCACATGCATGTGTACTGTGCCTTCAACCAGCTCAACGAAATACTTTTTCCAAGTAAGATATTTTAGGAGTTCCAATATACATGACTAAATAAACTTTACAATCATTAATTTATTGTGGCCAAATCGTCGCATAAAATAGTCTATAATGTGAATTCCTGGATACTGAATTTTAATCTGCAATTTTCTGCAATCCCAGTGATATTTGCTGGTGTAATGAAGTAGCATATCACAGGACATGTTTAGGTTATTTTTTAGACTACAAACATGACCACACACTGATATACTGAATATTTTGTTTAAAAAAAAAAAAAAAAAGAGTCAAAATATTAATTACTCATGTGTAGATCTCCTCTAGTTTTTTGAAGCATTTAATTTAATTAATTTTTTACAAGACAGTTTTATAAGACACTTTATCTGTGTTTTTTTATTGTTTTACTTCCTAAATGATTTGCTTTTATATGGGACTCATGTTTTCATGGATTGGAATGATCTAATATAATGTTTTGAAGATGCCTGTTCGTACATTTGTACTGAAAAAGTTGATTTAAAAAAACTACTTTATTTCCCTACATTTCACTGGTGTAAACTTTGAAGTCTCACAGCCTAATCGCCAGAAAAAATGTTGGCATTGAATGCTTCTGAAATCTATGTATAGGCAGTATAGTGGATATGCTGAAAATGTACATTTCAACAATACTGTGGTTAACATGTGGTTCAGCTTTGGCACAGAATTCACTTGGTTATGGTTATGAGCAGATCATGTTTTGGCTTGAAATACCCCATTTGGGTACACAATGCTGGCAGGACAAGCAGCAGTGTCTAGGTAAAAAAAAACAGCTTGTCATGGCACTGTCACCGCCAACGGTTCACCAAAAAACACACAATTGGAGCCTAGAAATCCAATCGAAAACCAGTAAGGAGTTACTAAAAAAAAGAACTGCATTTGTTGTTTTTGGTCTCAACCAGTAGTCGGCAGCTTGAGAGGTAACTCGAGAGGTGACTTCTGTTTTCTCTGTTTTCTCCAATGATTGTTTTGTTGTGGTGCCAAAGACGTTATCATTGGAAACACTGCGGCACAACGGGCTGTTCCTGCTTTGCTGCAGTCCAAAACCAAACAGACTGCTCTTTTCTTCTTTGGTAGTTTTGGCAGTGCCTTTCCTGGTGCACTGTGCTGCCTACGATAGCACCACCACATCAGTGGATGCCACAAATGCTGTTACAAAAATCAGAAATCCACCAGGTGCAGCATTTGCTAAATAATTGTTTTCCAATATGTCGCCCATCAGAGTTTTGTAGAGAGCTGGAGGCAAGACAAAACTTGACAGCGGCACCTGCCTTGTTATTTTCTACACAGGGAAAAGGGGGGTAGGAATGGCAGAGTTGAGAGATTGTTATTCTTCTCTCATTTTGTTTATCTATATTGGTGACTTGAGTAAAAGCAAACCAAACAACCATTACTGAAGCTGTAAAACTGTAAATGAAGGCTGTATTGATCCATCTATCCACCATTTCCTCATGTCTGTTTACAGGTGTTGGGGAGTACTACTGAAAAAATGAAGTTGTATAAAGTATTAGTGTGGCTCCAGAGGAAACTGAACAAAATCTGTAATAGTGCCTCAAGGGCTGTCACATGGGTTAGCGCCGGTAAGGTGTGAAGACTACAAATCTGAAAATGATCGAAAAAATGTTGGTGTGGAGTTAGAGAGAAGTGAGCATACCAGATCTCTGTATCAACTGGTCTCACTCTGAAGGCATCGAAATCCAGCACTTGGTCAGTGACTTCCGGTGTCAGACACTGACGAAAAAAGCTGTCCTTTTATGTTGTCATGATATGTGGCCGGTCGCCATTATTGTTTAACGGTGCCTGGAGGTGTCAGGGGGAAACATAGTGGGACAACAACCAAAGTTAAGGTGACGGAAGTCCGAGAAGGCAGGCGGGAGAGGTGGTGAATGGGTCCAACAACCACCGACTTTCACCCGGGAGGTCATGTTCGCCGTTAGCCAAACCCTATTCTTTTTTCTTATACCCAACCACATGCTTTTGTTGCCTAAACCAAACCATGTGTATGTGTTGGGAAAATGTAACCATGTGTGTTGTTATTGTTGAAAGAAAAAGAACGTCAATTCATGGTGTTGTACCAATGTAGTGCCTTTATTTTTAAAGAGACTGTACGCAAACGGTATATTTCCTGTGAAAACGGAAGTACTTTTTAAAAATAGACAATGCATGTAAAAGGGAGAACTTGAATCGGCGTCCCAGAATGTCGACAACTAATGCACCCAGGGTACCTTGCATGTCACAGCGCGACGTGAAAAGTTTATCACCAAACGTCAATTTGTGACAAGGCCGGAGTGATAATGTGTTGCTGTTTCTCATCTCAGCTTGAGACTAGAGGCTCAGGACTACTTCAGCCGCTACGAGCATAATGCAACCTAAATCTTTCACTTAACAATCAGCAGTCATGTTGCATTGTGGGTAACATAGGCACCTGGTTTTGACAAGGAATAACAATGCTTGAAATTAAGTGCAACACAAAATCTGTGTAGTAATTTACCAAAACAAGAATAATGATACTCTTGTTAGAATTCTTTAATATTAAGATACATGTCTTAGATTTCCTCTCTTTGCTTTGATTGCCACCTCCATTATTATAATAACATAAACTAAGAACATAATTTACATCCTGCAGTTGCCCTCATGGGCACCCTGGGGCCACTTTTTTCATACAGTAAGTTGGCAAGACTTAATAACTTGTTAGTCAAATACACCACAGTCAACAAACTGCGTACTTTTTTGTAGTCTTAACTCCCACACAATTATACCAGCTGTGAATTCGTCTTTTCTTTAATGCCAGGGCAAAACGAGGGCAAAGAAGGAAAAAAAAATCACTACAAAGCTGTAAAGTATATGGAATATAGCAGTTTATTGCCAAATGATTTTCACATTTCACATTTCCAGCAATAACAATAATACAAAGTAAGAGCACAATACAAGGAACACAAGAGCCAAACAATCCTAATATAAATATGAAATAGAAATAAACAATGAAAATATGTTCAGTTTCCAAAAACTTAAAATTGATGTAAATTTCAGAGTTTCAAGGAACAAGTAATTGGGTAACTGCTTACAGCTGTTCTGCAGTAGTGGAAGTAAATTAAGCCTTGAAAGTTGATTGAAACAATCCCGACAGGTGTCCAAACTGTAGGCATTGTTGATTACTTACAAACTTTCTGTCTGTATAAGTAGTGTTAGAACAGACTGTTGCAAAACAAAACTGTGAGCACCAACACAGCGAGGCAACCACCCATGGCTCCAAGTAAATCATTATAACAGTACTACACTATTATCTTGATCGTGTTAGAGTTTGAATGAAATCACAAAAAGAACAATCTGGCTAATTACAATGTGCATGTTTTTATAGATGCCATCATTTCTATGAGTTATGATAACACCAAATTAATTACTATATTCTGGCAACACAAGATCGCTACAATGATCATACAGTATCATCACAGTACAGTTCCTCTGAAAGCTGATTAATGATTATAATTATTTTTCAAGTTAGACTGTGAGATAAGACATGATGCTGCCTATCTTAACATTGTATTTTGATAACAGTTATGGGGTCATGGGTTTAATCTATATATCTAACCAATGTTTTTTAATTTTATGCTGCATCCAACCCTTGGTTCAGTAGAGACCCCCAGCTAAACAGTGCACCAGTGTCACACCTCAAAAACTGCTCAGTAATGGCCCAAGGAATGAGACAAAGAGCTCAAGGCATCAGCCTTGCCTCCAAATTACTCACATCCCAATCTTATCAAGCATCAGTGGGATGTGCCAGAACGAGTCCGATCCATAAAGGCCGCACCCTTGCAAACCACAGGGCTTAAAGGATCTGTCTCCAACGTCCTGATGCCAAACACCACAGGACACCTAAGAAGGCCTCATCGTGGATCGGACTTGGCTCTGCCCTGTCGAGGTGTGGACACAGGACCTGGTGGTACTGGCGTGTCCCACGGATGCTTGATTGGATTGGGATCTGGGGTATTTGGAGGCCAGGTTAATGCCATAAGATATTTGTCACATTCCTTGGGTGATTCCTGAGCAAATCTTGCTATGTGGAATTGTGCTTGGTTTGTTACGATGTTTGGGTTCCCCAACAGAACATTGCATTGTAACAAGATGAATCAACAAGATTTACTTAACCTGTCAGTGCTTTGAATGTTGTGGCTGATCTGTTCTGTGCAATTTGAACATTTAATGTTTACACCAAACAACTTCAGCCTAAAGATGTCCTCAAATCCTCTTTGTTTCACCCAGTCAGCTCATAATACAGACATATACACACACATACACACGGAAAAATAACATCCTTGAGTTATTAATCTTTCCGAAATAAACAAATAAAAATGATGGATGAGGTAGAAATGACTTTACTTTGGTACTTTGTGAGAATAAGAAACACATCAAACCTTGTGTCAGGTAATAACTGAAAAGATAAACTCCAAAAATCAACAAGATCAGAGTATTAAGGTGGTGGAGGAAAAAAAAGATGATATTACCTTGAAGGATATGCAATAAGCAGCCGTGTTGAAAATGTGT